TGGAAGCCAATAAAAAATAGGCGAGATAGGTTACTAGGACACCTTCTCGGGCGTGAAGGTCTAGTCAGAGACATATTAGAGGCAGAACTAGATGAGATTACTGTTCGCAAATAGTTAAGGATATGGGTTGTTCTGGTTTTGGGGAAATGCGAAGATTAGCTCAGGGTAGGAAGAGTGGAGGTGCATGTCCAACCATTCTTAGAACTGACGAACTTATGATGATGATGCAAGTATTTCAAATAAATCACATCTCTAAACATGTCACAAAGATGCATGGTCGAAACAAACGCCAAGACGTTGATTTCGAATTCATTCATACGTTTGGGTACTAATATTTTTCGTTACGTAAAACGTGGGACAATCACATGGAATAAAAAAAACACTTTCATTCTGTCAGTTCCAGTTCTTTGAATACATTACCTACGTTCAAAAATCGCATGTGTGTTCGGTTGTTCAACTAACAATGCGTCGACGACAAGTTTCGTTTAATTATTTGACGTTTGACGTACGGTAATAATAAGCGCGAAATAAAAGTGAAGGTTTGGCTATCAATCTCCATTTGGTCAGGCAATCGTACAAACAAACGCCAAGATCCCACCTTAAACGTGTCCTTTTCTGGTTGATGAACAAAAGAAGTGAAATTTTTTACTCGCATGCATACATGCACACAACTAACAACGCAATTAGAGAGTACCTGCCGGGTTGCACCTTTCTGTGTATTCTCATATCCAAAGGAATTGAATTTTCAATTAATAATCAACCAAGTTCACTCTCAAAACATGCTGCATCTTCATGCGAAAAAAATATGTTATTGTCTCTGTTCCGCCATAAATTCGCTTTCAATATCCAGGAAGCGAAAACTTTCACCATTATTACAATGCAACTGTTTTCAATTACGTTATTATTTGGATAAGTACATACTCAGTAACGTTATTGGTAGATTGCGTTTAGAACAATTACTCAACGACATTTTATAATTTATTAAATGACGTAAACGCAATCTTGCTATAATTTTAAAGTACATTTTTTTTTACAATTAGACCTTAGCTACCCATCTGCCTTAATGTTAAGATAACAACAACGATTTTAACAAAGAAAGTGAATAGCAAGGACGTAAGACATCTTCCATTTAGTTGTTCACGGAATTTATGTGAAATATTTACCGAAAGACTTTATTTGTGAGTAATAAATAATCTTTATCCCATTGTGCTATTAGAAGCAAACAAAAATGCAGGTGAATTGTTATATTAAGGAAGATAAGGATTTAAGACCATCTCCACATTTTAAAAAAGAGGGTGAGAATTTTATTGAGTGGACATGATTTATTACTGTTGACTTAACTATTAGTAGTAAATACAATAACAAACCAATGCTTTAATTTATTCATTGACTACATTTATATGCCATGTATTATTGGGTAAATAAAATGGAAAGTATGATATGCAATATCTAAAAATCCAAAGTTCACCCTGTTTCCCTACAACTAACAACAACTTAAAATGACAAACAACAAGGCCTCATTCAATGTTTTCATATTAGGTACATCTAACTGAGTTAAATTTTTTCGCTATTTTTTGGATTACTTTGTAGAGACAATCAATACATAATTCCTTTTTATTATTTACTAGCGACCCGCCCCAGCTTCGCAAGGGTGCAATGCTTATACTAAATACATTTTTTTTGTTTAGATTATTCTCGAGGAGGGGAAATCTTCAAAAGTCACCCCCTGAATATACTGCATATACTACAGAATGTCTTTATATACAACAATCACAGCTTTTTTGTCATTAGACAATACAAACCGGCCTCAAGGCCGATACCGCCGCAACCGCTATGTCCCTGCATTTTAAATCTGTAATATCTTCGAAAATATTAATTTAAATTACATGGTAAAAGGCCATATTGATCTATATTAAATGCACAATGTATTTGAAGTACTTAATTGGATAAGAATTAATGCTGTATTGCTTAAAATCGCATGGTAAATAAGCCACTATAAAAAGTAAAGGATAAGAAATAGTGTTTGTGGGTTAAACCTAAGAGATAGACATATACCATCCCGGACTTTTTTGTAGACCTTCTTAAGGTGTACAATACTGTAGTATATTATTTTGAACTATCTCGTAGGGTTCATCCAGCGTTTGCAATGTAAGCGCAAAAAATGTGTTTATTTACATCACATTAGAAACCTCCAAAATTATCAGTGTTTTCCTACTATATTATGAATGTATTATATATACAAAACTTCCTCTTGAATCACTCTATCTATTAATGAAAACCGTATCAAAATCCGTTGCGTAGGTTTAGAAATTTAAGCATATATAGGGACAGACAGCCAGAAAGCGACTTTGTTTTATACTGTGTAGTGATTTTCCCTGATGATATTTAACTCTTTATTTATTTTTGTTTAAGTCACTTCTTTGCTCGCGAACGATTGATTTAGAAATTCAAAAACGGTTGTTAATGGTGTATGTTTGGAACGCGGCGCTTTACGGGTGCGAAACACGGACAGTGGGCGCGGCGGGAAAGAAAAGGTTAGAAGCGTTCGAAATGTGGTGTTACAGGTGAATGATGAGGATACCGTGGATGGAGAAGGTTATAAATGAAGAGGTATTAGAAAGAATAGGAGAACAGAGGACTTTATGGAAGTTAATAAAAAATAGGCCAGATAGGTTAGTAGGACACCTTCTCAGACATAAAGGTCTAGTCAGAGAAATATTAGAGGCAGAAACAGGAGTTAGGAGGGGTAGAGGTAGACCTAGGTTAGATTACTGTTCACAAATAGTTAAGAATGTAGGTTGTTCTAGTTTTAGGGAAATGCGAAGATTAGCTCAAGATAGGAATGAGTGGAGATGCGCGTCCAACAAGTCTTAGGACTGGCGACCTTATGATGATGACAGCATTTGTAAGTTAAACCAATTTTTTATTGATTTGAAAAGTAAATTACATCAATGTTTCATACATACACATAATATTAACTAATACCTATTGAACTACAAGTTTAAATTCTCGTTTCATAATTTTAAAAGAAGTTAATATAATCTGTGATGTAACTACTTTCTGCTTTGACCTATGTAACAGTCTCTCCAGTAAATCGCAAAGATGCTGGACCTACATTTTTACTTCAATTCTAAAATAATGTTAATGACTCTCCACATGATTATTTATAAAGTAGGTAACTGATAAACTCTTCATTCCCAGTTATTTATTCAAACGATTGAACATGTAGTACATTGGGTACCCGTTACCACCTTTTCCCAAGTGAACTTGACAGATGGTGCCTTGACGTCTTTTTCTGTGATTTAATATGTAATAAAAACCTATTAATGTCACTGATAAAAGGTTTTTATGCAATCGCCGGCACCAATAGTAACAATAATTTATAGTCAATTTGAAACGGTTATAGTAACGGAAAGTATTCATTAATGTAATCTAAATGATAAAATGCATTCTTTAATGCAAATATCCAGGAAAATAGAACATAAACTTATAAATAGTCAATTGAATTTATGTTTTATTGATTCCGGTCTTTAGAGGTCCTTCCATTTCCGACTATGTAGACTGACATCCAGCATCAGAGATGAAAAGACCCGTGAAGGAGCTCGATACTCCTGCTAATGTACTATTTAGACAGGAATGATAGATAATAGTAGCACAATGAATCTACTGATGAACGTTTAATTCATTCCTAATTTTTAGAATTTAATCCTGCTAATGTAAATGGAAAGGACTCTCCCCTAACACAAGAAATTAAAATATTAATGTCCCAAAATCAGAAAAAATAAGCAAAGGTATTTACAATATCATGAAAATCAAAATAACTTTTTCCTGAACTCATATTTGTTTTGTTGTTAATTTTATGAGAGGAATGTTAGAACCTATTGAAAACCAAACACTTCATAGAGGTCAATTATACATACATACTGTAAGGTTAGAGATATGCCCCTTCCCTTGATTAGAATGCGCCGTAGCATAATTCTAAATTCAATCATATTTATCTGCGGAGCTCATTTCTCCACCGATCATCGAGCAAGAACTAGACAAAAGTGTACAGTATCATTGGCAAAATTATTTAAACTGCCTCGTTAAAATTTATATGCTTTATTTAAAAGCATATTTAGCCAAAAATAATAACAAGTGAATTAACTTAATATTCTACACACCTATAAAACTTTTGCTTTGTTTTCTATTGTTAATTTATATACATTTTTGTTTTAAGAAATTGCTAAACATTGTCGTCTAGTACTGTACAGTTCTAGCCGTTCTCCTAAGACCGCCCAGCGAGAGCTCTGCTCGTTCAAGCTTGTTCCGACTATTTCTGTCTTGCTCACGCCTAGTGTGTATTCTTTCTATCTTCGCGCAGATTTCTTCAATGTCACAATTCTAACAAATTGAAATAGACTGCACCTACCTGGTGTCAGAAGATTTAAATAACTCGATGTTTGGAGGAATCTACAGTATCTAAATAGTAATTAATTAATTAGAACCTATTTTTATTGTAAAAAAAATGTTGATAATAATTATTCAGTTACGCATTATTATATGCCGACATTAAATCAGGAAGCTTAAAAAGGACTTACTACATGTGCCTTACAACTCCGTACATCAGCAGCTACTCCTCTACATTTTTGGAATATTTTATATTCGTCATGTAGGAATATAAGAACAAAGGCTTTCACGGCCGGAATCCATAGTAGAATGAAGGTTCGGGCTATAGGGCCGTGGTCTAAGTGAACTGTTCCGTCCAGACGTTTCGTCAGCTACTGCAGCTGACATCTTCAGTGGTAGTGCTGCTTTAACAACGTGAACGTAGATTATATCTCGAAGTTTCGACAGCGACTGCCCCCAGCACGCAGCACTACCACTGAAGATGTCAGCCGCAGTAGCTGACGAAACGTCTGGACTGAACAGTTCACTTAGACCACGGCCCTATAGCCTGAATCTTCATTCTACGTCATGTAAGAGTATATTAGATACAAACATGTATAATATTTACTTACCAACTGGAGTCAGTTCGTCAATAGCAACCGAATATGGATCTCCAGAAAATATAGGTGAATGATCATTGATGTCTTCCACATAGACGGTAACGGACAAAGATGAAGCAATCTAGGAAATAAAATAGCATGCTTCATCATCATCATCATCATAGGGTAATTAGTTCGAAGACTATTCTAAAACCTGTCTCCCCGTTTTCTTACAATGTCATTTGTTCTCCTACTCTTTCTAAAACCTCTTTATTTTTAACGTTATGTATCACAAATTGTTTTCATAAATTATCAAATATAAGCACCTCAAACCTCTGGCTTACTTCCATATAGGTGCATTTAGAGTTCAGTAATAACACCTTTTCTAGATATTCAACATTCTAATACCTTATGGCAAAACAAATTGAAGCGAGCACGAGTGTATTTTGTAATTGTGTGTCGTACCTGCGTGCTGGGAAAGCAGTTAAACAGTTCAAAGAAAAAAGAAACTTTCCGGACGTTTCGAGAAGGTTCCCGAAAGTAAACAAAAGAGTATTTAAACGAAGAGACGATCGCCGAGAGAAGTAGAAATAAATTGACCGTTGCAGAAGTGAATCCAGAAATAAACTGACAGTGATAGAAATGAAATAAATAGCGCAGTGAACATTGATATATTAACAGTAGTATAAATAAATAGAATAATTCATAACCTAAGTTTAGTAATAATTTAATAGTGTTTTTAAGTTCTTTAATAATTTTTGTAAATAAATAGTTTTTGTGGTTATCAGTATTAGAAGTTAATTTTGTTAAACCCACTAACATTACAACTGGTGTCAGGTGTGGGGTGTAGTAAAAGACATTACAATGACAAAGAAGTTGTACGAATTAAAAGTAGCTGAGTTAAGAAGGGATTAATTACAAAGATAGAAAAGTGATACTTAGTTTGTATAAAGAGCAACAGGCAGTTGTAGAGCTGAGGATGCAACGTAGAGAAGCAAATATTAGGAAGGGAGTCAGGCAGGGATGCACACTGTCACCGCTACTTTTTAATCTATACATCGACGACGCCATCAACATCATTAAAGACAGTACAACTGTAGGGATAGATGTGCACGGGCAAAAGATTAGTATGCTTAGATTTGCAGATGATATAGCAGTATTAGCATCTAGCAAGGAGGACCTAGAGATAGCTTTAAATAAAATGGAAGCGGTACTG